AAGAAGAGGGGGTAAAGTGAAGTTCTAGTTCCCATTGAAGAAGTTTTTTTTTTTTTTTTGAATTTACACGTATAACTTTGTTGTGTGTGACGGAATGGTGGGTATAATGTATGATGTGTTGGTGACAATAATGTGGAGTGTAAAGTGAAGTTTAAATTCTCTAATGTGATATATTTTTTTGTGTAAAATATTACAGTGATGTGTAGTGATATTTTGTAGTGTTTTCAAGAATGTGAAGATTTCCATCCAACCAAATGGATTCAATAGTTTCCCGTTTATATAGATATCTTGTTTGCATGTAGAATTCTTGCTAATAACAAATTGGTATGCTAAGTGAAATACATGTTGTCATTTGTGTTATGCTGCCAATTCTGTTCAGTGACAGTGTAAAATGTGCACAGTGTTGTGTAGAGTATGAGTTATAGCATGAAGAATGATGGCAAGTTATTTCTAAGTTATATGTGTATTTCTGTCAGCTAGACAACAGATTGCATTCTTGGCAGTTAATCTTTCAGGCTTACATGTGCTAGCAGGTATTATACAGCATTAGGTAATTATTTTATTTCGATCTACTAAAGTGCTTATAGAATCACATTGTTTATTAGAGAGCACTTGTTGTTACAGCTGACCATCTTGTATTTGTATTTTATAGCTTAGTGTAGAACATATACTCGTATAGTGATGTTTTTGTTTACTGCTTTAATGCTCAGAAGAATGTTGGAGGTTATTTTCTAATATTCAGATCGTAATGAGTCATTTCCCTATGTAATATTTGAGCACTAGTATTTTGATACCTTTTATACAACGTATATGTGTATGCTTCACATATGTCGAAAAACATAATATGGTTAATAATGGGAACATTCGGAAAGATAATATTTCGGGAACTGTTGGAATTTGTAATAGTCAATGAATATAATTGTGATATCCTGCACTTGAAGGCGTTCTGAAATGTCAATATTTCGGTTAAAATGCATTTAAGACCATTATAAAAATCTTAATCTATTCCTGGTGTCATAGATTACGTAGAGAGTTTAACAGAAGAATATATGCAAGAGTTTATCATGTGAGAAAATTCGGAAATAAAATGCCCCATATAAATGTATAATGATTTCCTACGCTATCAGAGACATTCCTTCGTAAGATATTGCCGACGGCCAAACAGTGCTCAACTGATCATAACGATGCGCAGTAGTCATTTGCGCCCAGCTGTCATTATGTACACTCACAACCTGTGATTAGCGTAAATTACAGAGCTTGGCCCTCTCCAAGGTACACATGAATGCGCAGTAGTCTAATGCGTAAACCTATCCTAAATTCAGCGAATGATACTCCTGAGATACAGGTGGATGCAAAGTAGATCATTGCGCGCACCTGATTGTGATGTCATTTTCGAAGGAGCAATTTATCGTAACTTAATATAGGACTGTCATAACATGGAATATAAATTGAAATATGACGTTATGTATAAAATTGAGCGTGTTGAACCCTTTTCCATCCATAATATCTATCAGTGCTCTTAATTCCCGAGGTCATAGTGTTAAGTGATATCTTAGATTGTGTCGAAAACGCCGCTCCCACCTCACGAGTTTGCTCACCCCCCACAGTGATACGAATGATTACTGAATATCTTATATTATGCAATTATACTGTCCTCTAATGGAATAACGTTATGACGAAAAATTTTTATAAACAGTGCAATCGTTTCCTTTCTCATGGATGGATACGCGACGAATTCAGAGACTGCTTGGCATTTTTTCTCCCGACTTTCCCTTTCTGGATAGGAAGTATTTTACACGAAAATGGGTATAAAAAGTAGGGTGAAAAATTACCGTCCTGTAATCGAACTGTTAATGGAATTTTTCTGTTTCAGTCATGTTAAGAGATTGGATTGCCTGTCACTATGACCGAAATATCCGGTGTACAAAATCAAGTTACGTTTCTTTCTTGGTATGAAGAGATGTTTATAAATAATAAGATGGTGTTGTGTGTATTTTTATGTACTAATATGTACAAGTTCTGATTAATTATCTGCATGAAAGTATATCTTAAAAGATTCAGTGAGATAGTGCAAATGATAGGCTTTAATATGTGTATTATCGTGGACCGAGTAATGGCGAGTACACGAAATTTAACAAACATGTGTTCCCTCTGTTCCACTAGGAAATCGACGTGTTTTTCCTCTGAACCATGAAACTGAAGTATGTGTGAAAGACGAATACACCATAACGTACATTTATTGATTTAACGAAAGTAAGTGCATATAGGAACAGTCAGTGTGTAGTGACAGACAATGTGTCTTTGATGTTATATTTCCACTATTATTCATAATTTCGTGGGAAGTATGTACAGTGATTAGCACAAAATGTGTTTTATTGGTTATATTGGTAGAGAATGAATTAGATTTTATGACTGCATATTTGTTATGACAGAAAACAGTATAGTTTTGGTATGAAGCCTCTGAATGTTATACATGTGTGTAGGTTATTAGTCAGAAAGTTATACTTTTTTTTGTATCTTCATTTGTACTAGTGCAATTACTTGTAAGAGGAGGGTGAAAAGCTCTTGTGCACATTGAACTAGTTATTGTTGAATTTATATCTTAGTTCTGTCAGGCATGTATTGTAGTGGATATAATGTATGGTGCTTCGGTCACATTAATATCGATTGTAAAGTTAAGTTGAAGTTGCCTAATGTGACTATATTTTCGTGTGTTATATACGTGTGTCTAGAAAAGATCTGACACATTTTGATCTTTAATAATTCCGAAAATAACGAAGATTGAAACTAACTGTTTACATTTTTGTATTGAGGGTCTCAAAAAGTTTTGTGTCTATTATGAATAAAATTGTACATGTGCCCCATTTTTTGCACTTAAAATATCATTATTTTTTATATTTTTTATTATTTCATCTCTATAGATCATTGTTACATGTATACGACAAGTCAGGTTCGGTACATTGGCGGATTACAATAATAGAGTTTAGTTACAATACTTACAATTGTTTACAATATATTACAGTAGATTACAATAATTAAGAGTTCGTGAAGTGTGAGGTGGAATCCATATTAGGTCCCCTTGGCACTTCGTCACCATATGTCCTATTGTACCTGTACCGTGATTATGCTTATGGAGAATTTGATGGAATGAGGATTGGCAGGGGAGACCGAAGTACTCGGAGAAAACCTGCCCCAGCGCCACTTTGTCCACCACAAATCCCACTTGACTAGACACCAGCGGTGGGTTGCCAGTATCTAACCGCTTAAGCTATGGCGCGGCCTTAGTGATAATATTTGTGAATTAGGTGATAGCACTGGTATAACGTTTCACTGTAGATTCTACACTGCAAGATCTCGTTACATCTGTTCTCCCTTCCTGGTGCAACTTCTTGGTATCTGCAATCTCTCTAGAGTAGCCCATTCAGGTACTTTTCCGACTGTTATCTTTGTTTATGGAAAAAAGGAAAACTGCGCAGTAGGGATTCCCAAAATCGATTATTCATGAATTATGTAATTATAATTGAATAGTGTTTGTCTCTCATGAGAAAAACTCATCCACTTTATAAGAACAATATTCAAGTAGGTACGTTTTGAAAGCGTTTTTGAACTTATAGAGTACCAGTATTTCTTTAATATGTAGTGGTAAATGATATAGCAGTCGAAGTCCTACATTTTTAAGTTTGTTCTTGCATAGACTTGTATTACTTGGAACGATGTGCAAGTCGTCTTTTCCTTGTGTTGTATGAGTGTAATCCTGAGTTGATTGTGAAATCATTCGAATTGGATTTTATGTATATTAGAGTTTTGTATATGTACAAAGATGGTAGAGGTAATATATGTAATGATTTGAAAATTTGTTTACAACTAGTTGATTTGAGACCTGGGTCATAGCTCTTATAGTTCTCTTCTGTAATTGAAATATCAATTTTGCATTTACCGAGTTGTTCCAAAATATCAGTCCATATGATAACAAAGATTGGAAATGATCATAATATAACGTGCGGACAATCTCTAGTCCATGATTTATTTAAACCGTCTTGCAGTGCATACACTCATCTATCTCCTTGTCTCACTAGTCCAGTCACTCTTCCAAAAACCCTTAGGCCAAAACATACTTTACATAAGTTGTTCGCTAGCTTCTGCGTATGCATAGTCCATCTTAGATGCTTATCTAGCCAGACTCCCAGAAATTTTGAGGATCTGTGTATTTGATAACAGTGTCATAAATCTTTATTGTAGGACATTCAAGTTGTAGATTTGAGGACGATGAAATGCTATTGCTATTGTTTTCACTTTATTAATAGTTAATCGATTTCTCTCAAACCACTCTATGATTTTGTTTCTTGTTTCGTTTGTTTTCCTTTTAATTTCGTTAGCGCTATTTTCTGGTATAAAAATGCTAGTATCATCGGCAAAGAGCGTAGGTTTCCCATGTTCTATGCCGGCTCCCAGGTCGTTTATGTATAACAGAAACAACACTGGTCCTATAAAGGAACCTTGGTGAACGCCATAGCCGATGGGTCTCCTTCGGGATAGGTAATTAATGTTTTGATTAGTTTTTTGCATCTGTATGTAATTTCTGCCTCTTGTTCTCTGTTCTCTAAGTGTGTTTGGAATCGCCTTAGTATAACCCCTCATATTCCCATTCTTTCCTTCTAAGCAATATATCATATTCCCATTCTTTCCTTCTTACTTAGCAATATATCATGATCTACTAGGGCGAACGCTTTTGATAAATCCAAAGATATCCCTATACTCGTTTCTTTTTCATCTAGTGATCTGTAAACCCTTTTTGTAAATTCTGTGATTGCTGTATGTGTTGATTTTTCTTTGCAGAATCCATGTTGTTAGTTGTTATGCTGTATTTAATTATGAATGATAAAAGTCTATTGTGCATAATTTTTTCGATTATTTTAGGAAAAACCGAAATTAATGACACCGGCCTGTAGTTCCCAACATCTGCAGTACAACCTTTCTTATATAAGGGTTTCACTTTTGCTATTTTTAGTTGTTCGGGGAAATAACCAGATTAAACTGACAGATTTATTATGTATGTTAGAGCATTTACTAGTTGAGGATGATTTTTTTTACAATGAACTCTGGAATATCGTCAATGCCAGTTGATTTTTTGTTACTCAGTGTTTTAATTATATCTACCATCTCCCTTTCAGTGGTTGGGGTTAAGAACATGCTATTGCTGTTGTATTTTATTCTGTTTATACTGTCTTCACTGTTTTGTGCTGTCGGATTGTTACTCCGGATGTGCTGGGCAATGTTAATATAATATTCATTAAAACATTGGCTATAACTTTTGGATCCTGTATAGTTGTTCCATTCTCTCTTATTTCATTGTTCTTTGGAACTTTTTGCTGATTGCCTAATTCTTCTTTGATTAAATCCCATGTGGCTTTTGATTTGTTCCCAGATGATCATATTCGCATGTTGCTTAATTTTTAGCCTCACTGATAACTTTGTTGTATATTTTTTGTACTGGTTATAGTATTTTTTAAGTGCTTTAGATGCGGTTCCTTCCTTCATTAAGCTATGAAGAGTCCTAAGTCTGTTTCTTGATACCCTTATGCCTAATGTAATCCATTTATTTATTGCTGCATAATTTTTACCCATTGCATGGCTATATTGTGATAGTACTCAAAGATGCCTAAAAATTCATTGTATTCATCATTTGCCTCATTTTATTTAAGAACAGGCTCCCAGGTCTCTCTTCCTAGTAAATAGTTTAGATATTGTACGTTTTCCTCGCTATAAGATGTAGCTAATCTGAACTCTTTAGTTATTCTACCTTGTCCTTTTTTGTTCTTATAATGCATTTGTACTTGTAGTATTTGGGAATTATGGTCAGAGAGCCTTGTTTGCGCCACTTTAAAGTTGTATTCCCATAAGCCCTTGTTTAGTATTATTTGGTCTATGGCTGTTTGGCTTTTAGGTCCTATTCTTGTTGGGACATCAACTATTGCTTGCAAGCCATATGAGTCTAGCATTGTCTGTGGTTGTGGCTTTACACTTCTATTTAGAAAATCTACATTGAGATCTCCTGCTATAATAATGTTCTTTCCTTTATCGGTCAGATTGATAAGTATTATGTCCATGTCTTTTATAAATATGTTGATATTGTTATATTTTAGCGTCCTGTTGCACTGATTTAAGTCCATGATTTATTTCAACCGTCTTCCAGTGCATACACTCAGGAGGAGATAGATGAGTGTATGCACTGGAAGATGGTTAAAATAAATCATGTTGATATTGCTATTAGGGGTTCTATATATATAGATTATGATAGTATTAAATTGTATAAGTTCAATTATGCTGGCCTCAAAGTGTTCTTCTTGATTTAAGCTTTCAAACAGGTTACAGGGTTTTGCATCTAGATTTGTTTTAACATAAATGCATGAGCCTCCATGCAATTTACTTTTCCTACAGAATTTTGATATCAAGGAATAGTTTTCAGAGTTATAATAATGTAGTTCTCCTTCATGCAACCAATGTTCAGTGATACAGAGTATATCCAAGTCTAACGTTTTGTTTGATAATAGCACATCTATATTCAGCTTGTTGTTGTTTAGACTTTGAACATTCTGATGTAATAATTGGATGGTTGAACCTATTTTATTGGTATTCTTGAGAGTGTCAGTACTATCCTTATCTATAAAAAATCTTTACTTAGCTTTTCTGGGAGCTTCCTTTTTCTAGTTGACATCCGAATTTCCTGATGTTGCTTTCCTTCCAGTGGTGGCACACTGCTGGGGGATTTGTCCACTAATGTTTCATCAGCTTCATTCCCTTGGCTTTCTGCAGTCTCCTCATTGACATTATCCTCCTTGTGTTTTCCTGACGTGGCCTCTTCATGCACGGCTCCCTCCTTGTATTCTAGTGGTATAGCATTATCTGCTCTTGCCCCAACCTTTCGTTGTACCAATTCTGCTGTCTATCAAGACGATATTCGATTTCTTTCCAGTACGGGCAAGCATACTGACATCCACAGTGGTTATTGCGTCTCTTACTCTGGTTTTTAATTGATCGAGAGCTTCTGGTGGTGAGGGTGATCAAAACCGATCAAAACATTCTAACATAGTAGCGGTCCCGCATGTACAAATATTTACTTCGCCGTGTCTGATCAGGCAGTGTTCGTGTTCGAAGTATTCTAGGTGGCGGTGAGTCATATTATTATTATTTTAAACAGATGCAGAAAGCGGATATGTGCTTATCTCGATATTACGGAACATATTAAATGTGCTCTGATTGCAAACCATATGAAATTACGAATATTTTTAAGCCAAAAAAAAAATATTTTGTGTGCTGCTTGAATACTGTGAATGTTATACAATTGTCATTGCAGGCCTAAGAGAGCTAAGAGTAAAGAACGCAAAGGGTACTGTACATTTGAACACAGTTTAGCTGATGCATGGTGCTTTTTTCCCCTCGTTATACTATATTAGACGAACTGTAATAAATAAAATAACATTTTATATGTTTTGAATATTTGTAGACATTTCAAGTGTAATAGATTGATGCACTGAAGAGTAATTTCATTAATATTACATTTAGTTCCTAGAAAAAATATCATGTCCATTCCATTTTTTAATATGCCACTGAACTTTGCTAATGTTTGTCGACTTTGTATGCAAGAGAAGTCAACATTACTTTCCCTCTTCATTGACACCGAAGTTAGTGATCAAGTTACACCTCTGCGCTGCAAAATAATGAGTCTGGCACCAGGTGTTAAGGTATATCATTATTATTTTTTGTTGGAAATATGCTAGATGTACTAAAAGCGAAGACACAGTAGGACATTTATTGTAGTTACATAAACAGTTGTTTCATCCAGTAGTTGTATGTTGTGAAGTTTCATGTAGTAAGCCTGTCTGCAATTGCTCCAGGAAAGTCTGCTAGTATCCCTCCTATCATACTAATATTTTAATTTATCATCGTTTTTTTACGTTCTTCAGACCATGTTAAAGTGTTGTGTTCTGAGTGTGTTCATCAGTGGTCAATAAGTAGTTAAGAATCTTTACAAATATTGTGGAATGTGTAATTCCACTTCACAGCTTCTTCATTTTAGTAGTAAATAATTGTACGTCTAGGCGACCTGTCATATGGGGGGAAAGAAGAGGAATGGTAGTATTAACATGTGCATAATAAAAGTACTTCATTGCATTCCATGGCTGTGAAAGGTTTGTTTTTAATGTATTCAGCATTATTCTTCCAACTTGTGTTATGGTACAAAGGTTACTATAGCCAAGAACTAATAATGAATGTATAATTTATATTACACAGTATTTATTATATGTAACTAAAGATGTAATGTATATAAACCAACAATTATGAAAATGACAATAGGACCGCTGTACTGAACTAAGAACTGTTAGAAGTAGACAGCAAAACAATTTGTGGAATAATAACTGACTGAAACACGTGCGCATGAATTATATGTATGCAAAATTGCAGGTATATAAAATAAACCCAGATAATAGGGGTAAAGAAAAACAAACACACAAGTGTTTAAAATGAATATGAGAATATGAAGAATAATGCAGAGATTAAAAATAGTTGAATTTAAAGTAAGATTGATCCTATGCTTAAACATTATACAATGAAGACATGAGGTAACTATACATTCTTTTCAGATTTTGATTTGAGAATCCTTTAATTTAAGCCCTTTACATTCCATAAGCCTACCAGATTAGCTGTAAGTACTTTTGCTAGAACCATCACTAACAAACATTCTTTTAGGGGGGAAAAAAAAACAGTGCTTAATATCTCTTTTGAACCCACGATCCTAGTGTTTGAGCGGGCGAAGGCAGTTCATGCCGTAGACTGCTTAGCCCCTGTGATCGGCTCTAAGCATACTTCACATCATGAAAATATATTTCTAGATTCATGTGGAAGTTGCTGTATGAGAACAGTCAAAATTTCATCCCTGATTTTTCCTTGATGTACTTCTGAAGAATGCAGATTGTTCACATACACTTTTTCTTTCTGTGTGCACCACACATAAAAATTATAAGGTTATAAATCAGATGACTGCAGATGGAACAACCCTTAAGTTATGACCCACTTGCTGCAAGCTTGATTTAATGCACCCGCAGAATTGTCAACAGTGTGTGCTGTTGCATTATCTTCCACAAAGTGCCATGCCATTTTCTTTCATAAGATTGTTGATTGAAGAAGGGTGAAAATCAGTTTCACATAATGTTCAGAATTTAATTGTTTTGTGAAGAACATGGGCCCAGTTATCCTCCATGCTCTAATTGAACACCAGACCACAGCGTTAATATCATGGTCTTCATGAATAATATAAGGATTTTCTGTGCTCTTGTGTCTGTTATTTTGGCTGTATGAATATATATCACCATTTAAAGTGAACTGTGTCTTATCAGAATAAAATGTTATTTCTTAATCAAGTAGTCCATTGAATATTGATTCCCAAAACCAACTGTATTATTGAATTCCCCCATCAGTGTGGAGGCAGAAGGCTATGTATGACCATAGTTTTGTAAGGCTGTAAGTAAGTAAAGGTATCCCTGTAACAGGCTGTGGAGCCCCATATGGTTGTGAGATGCTGAGGTTCCCACATTTTCTAGTCAATCTAAATTAAATAGTCAATCAATTTCCTAGTAAAGTTGTCAGCCTTATGTGCCACCCTCCCCTTACCCCCAAGAATATTCTTTCTAAGGCTGTAACTTTAGGAAATCTGTGCTTATGTAAGTTGTAATTCTGCTAATCCATATTGAAGATCCAGAAGGCATAGCAACTTCTTCAGGCTTACATATAATTGAATACTGATATCATCAAGTTTTCTTCAGTCAGTACACGTCTTTTTCAATACTTCTTTTTGTCCAGCACAACTCCCATAGAACTGTGGCTTTACACAGCACTGTACAGTCAGAGTATTTTCTGTGAAGGATTCTGCAATATTTCTTCCTTGAAGAATGCTGTATGAAGGTATACTATATGAATAATTTTTGTTCAACATCATATTTTGTGTCACTGCAAACTGCATTTGTGTATATCTCAAAGTTAACTACTGTGCTATTGAGGTAATCCAATAAGCACTAAGTGACAAAGAAATGGTTCAGCAGCCAGCAGTGGACAGGCATGAATGAACAAATTTCTAGCCAGCCAGTCTAAGGATAAGTTGTATTTCCTGCATTACAAAACAGAATCTTTCCATTTTGGACTTGAGGCGTTCGCAATAGTGGCTATGAAGGGTTCTGTTTTCTTGGATCTAATGCCATGTAGTTTGGTGAAAGTCAACTGATGTTCTAGAGGAACATATCACCTCCTTCTTCAGGGCAGTCCTATATCTGTAACTTTGACACCGCCCCCTGCCCCCCAATGTCAAACCTTTCTAGTATTCCTGACCTTCTCTTGATTTGAAGATGACTGGGGAATAATACTGAACAGTTACTTGTCTTTAGATTCTCAATGAGTGGTTGCATGCTGCTTTATCTTTATGTCCCATGTTAGGACATAGGCTTTGTGCATGTGACCATAATATTTCTTTCTCTTCCAGGTGGACGCATATGATGGTCTTCCAACTCATGTTTGTCGACAATGTGTGAATCAGGTTAATGTATCCTATAATTTTAAAAAACAATGTGAAATCTCTGATGCTACTTTCCGGGAGTTGCTGAGAAATCACAAATCAGGTTCCCAGTCTTGTGAGGTATTAGACATTAATTCACACAAATTTATCGCTGGAATCTTTTGATTACTTTCGTTCCACTGCATCCAGCATATTAAGTGGCATACAACAATTTCCATTTACCTACCCTTATAAAATGGAAGTGAGGGTAGAAGATGAATAAGACAACTGTTACAGAATTTCTTCTATGAAATACAGTCCTATATATTTATGCACATGTGCTGTAAACACTTGTATGTCTATCATGTTAATGGCTGTGCAGTTTCCAGAAAGTTGGGAAGATAATTATATTTTTTAGCAAAGGGAACCAGAACCACCTTATTTTGGGTCCACACTAGCTGCAGGTGAGTGGTCACCTTCACACCTCGGCCTCTTTATCCCTGGGAAAAGAGCCCCCCGTACCCAATGTGTAGAAAGCTGGGTGGGGCCCAGAGCCAGTCTGGATGACATGGAGAAGAGAAAATTCTTGACCCTACCAGGACCTGAACTCTGACCCCTCAGCCATCCAGCCCGTAACCAGATGCTATACTGACTGCACTATCGTAGCTACATGCTAGGTCCAAGGGTGGTGAGAAATGTGTGCCACATATGTTCAATATTGCCTGGTGGTGTCATCCCAGGACTCCTTTTTGCTGAAAATTCTTTCAGATTTTTAGTATGTAATACAGAATAATAAACGGATTGTGTTCTTTTCTGCATTTTCTATAAATAAAAGTCATACATTAGTGATGTCTCCAAAATATTTTGTTTTAAACAATTCATGTTGAAAAGCATATGTATAATCAGGTTCTCAAATTTAAGTAAAAGGTATTGTCATATGTATGTGTTTAGATTGGTGAATGGATCTACTGACCACTTGCACACATGATTCAGAACCACAAGTAATTATGGTGCCACTGCTAATCTGTACAATTCACAAATCACTAAAGCACCTGCTAAGCCTTTTCCAGCATGCTGTGTCTTCACCAGCCATTCCCCGACAATGTCTTCTAAGAGTAGAAACACCCCATTTCTATTGTTATAGTCCAACTGTTGCACTTTTATGAATCTGATGCCTAGCAACAGGAATGTGTTTGCTGAGCCATTGCCCGGAAACAGTCGCTGTGTACAGAGTCAGCTTAGTAACGGGTCTATACATCACATTGCTTCCACCTTAAGGCTGTTCGTCCTGAATGTTGTACAGGCGGACCTCCAGTTCTTTGTCTTCTGAGGGCTGTGTTTGTGACATCTCTGATTGGTCTCACCTTCCCTTCCATGGGTCAGCTCTCATGGTGATTACTGTCCAACTGCTCCCTCCTTAAGGTTGCTCATCCCAAGCAGCTCCCTGATAAGGTTTGAGCCAGTCCGGACTTATCACTAACGTCCTTCTTTCTGTCGTTGTGGGCAAAAGTTCTGAGAGTGTTCAATGCTCTTATATTTATGGCTCTTAATCTGCTGAGAGTGATCTCTTCTTTCGTGTAGGAGGGGGCTGACCCCTCCATAATGTTCTGACACTCATTTTTCGAATCCTGATGGAAGATCCGGCTATTCTCTTTGTGATCTCCAGCTCTATGGTCTCCATGAAGATAATAAATTTTTTCTATTCTGTGATCTGACAACTGAAAACAGTTTATAATGATTGACATTTTTTAAATGTAGAGTTTCATTTTCACACAATTGTGTTCACTATTAGTCATTAATTACTAACTTATATGCACAACAGTACATGTTCTAGGCATATAAATGGTGTAAGAATTTGTTGAAAAATTGTGATCTTATATTTTTATTTTCTTGTTTAATAATTGTTCGTGCTTTTGTAATGGTAGCTACTTTGTAATACTAATTGCATTCAGGTAAGTGTCAGCTGACTGTAAAGTAAATGCAGAAGATTTTAACTATTCTGCTGTTTGAATATCGGATTGGATGATGTCTATTTAATGCTATAAATAAAAAATGAAGATAATCTGTCTTTACATGTAATAAAAGGGCCAAATTCTTTAGCAAAATTGAATATTAATTTGTCTTTCCAGGGAAAACAGAATGAATCACAAAATTCTTTGAATCCAGCAGAAGATCCACCAGAAATCTGGACATATGTAAAAGTGAAAGCTGAGCTGGCTGATGAAAACGATCCAGAAGGTGGAGTGGAACAAGAGTAAGGTTCTCAGTATATTTTATTCTGTGGAGAAGGGGGTTACTTGCTGTTTGTGTTAAAGACAGCTCAGCCTTTCATTTTGGTTTACTGGAATCAAAAAAAAGTTGAATTTATTGTATGTATGAAACATGAGGATAAGGAAGAGTACATATTTCATGCTCTTCACCAAATATTGCTAGGGTTATGATCAAAGTGTACAAGATTTTAATAAAATAGGAAATAGACCACATGGGGTCCTAGATTACTTGGGAGAATATTATTAAAATAAATATTAGTGAAAGAGGGTGTTAGGGCGAGGATTTAATTACCTAGCTCAGGGTAGGTTGCAATATTTGGTTCTTGTAAACTTAGTGTCACGTGATAGAATCGCTATAGACAGGGTTTAGATTTGTAATCGGTTATATTGAACCCTTACAGAACGTAACTACAAATAACTATAACTACAGCACACCTAAAGTCTTCTCAGCATTCCCTAGCCATTGCTCGGTAACAGCTTGCAACAGCAGACGTTCCCATTTGTCTGGTTTCCTGAATTTTCCCCAGCCTCAGCTACCAGCTTCTAACACAACAGCTCACAATGACTGAACTCCAGCTGTCCTGTTAACTATTTTTTTATTGCTAGTGGGGTGGGACTAAGTCCCTTCTGTTGCAGCCACTTCTGGCCTATTGTACCAGCCCCAGATAATAGGTGAGGGTGATTGTGGACCAATTGGTGGAATGAAGATTGGCAGGGGAAACCGAAGTACTCTGAGAAGACCTGCCCCAATGCCACATTGTCCACCACAGATCCCACTTGACCAGACCCCAGATCAAACCCGGGTCCCTGCGGTGGGAAGCCAGCGAGTTACTGCTTGAGCTATGGCGTGGCCTGTCCTCTTAACTAACTCACTGTTCCAACTGTCAGCTCTCAACTAATTGACTCTCACTAACTGTCCTGCTTATAATATCTCAGCCAGACCACATAGAAAACACTGTTCCTCCATTGTTTCCAATTGTTGCTGTGCTTACTTAATATGGCTCTGCATAGCTGTTGCAGTCATTGCCTAGTAACGGGTCTACATGCCACAATAGTAATGAACTTAACGTATTCCATAAAAAGTGTATATACGAATAGTACCTATTTCATCAACAATCTGCTTTTCGGGGAAGTTTATGAACTATGTAATTTATTATTTATTTTCTACATGTACCCTAGATATAAGTTATTACTTGTATATTGAGACTGTGCTCTACTGAAGACTGCTCATTCAGTTTCTCATAACACTAGTCTCAAGACTATACCAGCTACACTTTCATTGCAGCTGTTTATTCACTTCTGAGTATATTAGAGGAATATTTTGGTACACTGTTTGAATTATAAGAAAACAGGATTAACATCTGGTCCATGATATGTTTTGCAACACATAAAATTGTTGCGCTGGTTGCTATTTTTATTTTATATTGGAAATTAGGCACTTGATTTGCAGTGTTATCTAATTACAAATTCAGTCACATCATGTGTTGCCTCACATGGAGATCTTAAAACCAAAGTACATAGTGTTTTATACATTAGTAATTAGATATGAGAGTTTCATACAATTCAAACAGAATGTGTTTCTTTGTTAGTCTACATTGTTTTGTTTAATACAAAATATGGCCATCTTAACCAGTACGTTTTTGTATTTTTTTGAGCATGTGTGTATGTCAAGAGTACAGTCCTTTGGAACCAGGCACTATGTAGCTTGGTAGAGAGTTACCTACATTTTAAAGGAACCTGCTGCCTCCATCATCAGGATAAAGAATCTTCACACTTCTTCCACCCGGAAGATGGAAGCAACAGGTTCCCCCAAAATGTTGGTACCATTCTATCAAACTACATGACATCATATCCACAAGGTCATGATCTCGATACACACTGCTGAGTGAATCTCAGATTTCACGTGTGTTGTTTTGTTTGTTTATGAGAAGATTAAGTACATAGTTTATGTAATTGTGAGATTTTCAGAGTGTGTTTAAATTAAACATATAATTTTAACAGGTTTCCAGCTGCAATTTGTTCATTAACAGAACAAGATCATGATTTGAATTCAAGTACAATGGATGAAGCACCTCTCAGGCAAGGCACAGATGAAGATTCAAAAAACCTTGGGGATAATTTACATTTATTCAGTAAAAGTATGTCATATACTATGAAATGTGACAGGGAGTTTTCATCAGGTGATGATTCTCTTGGATCCAATTATAGTACACAGATGAAATCCCAGAATGCAAGAAAGAGATTTGTATGTCTTGAATGTGGAAAGCACTTTGTACAAAAACAGCACCTTATTTCACACATGAGAACACATACAGGGGAACGACCATATCAGTGTAAGGAATGTGGCAAAACTTTTGCACAGACTGTACATCTAAAAAATCATCAAATTACTCATACACAGTTGAAACCATTTAGCTGTTCAGAATGTGGCAAATGTTTTGCTCAGAACATACATTTAAAGAACCATCTTAGCACACATACTGGAGAGAAGCCATATGGTTGTAATTTATGTGGTAAGACATTTGCACAGAATGTTCATTTGAAAAATCACCTTAGCACTCATACAGGTGAAAAACCATTCCGTTGTACAGAATGTGGAAAAACATTTTCACAAAATATACACCTTAAAAATCATTTGAGTACTCATACTCATGAAAAACCGTACGGTTGTACTGAATGTGGCAGAACTTTTGCCCAAAATATACACTTGAAAAATCATCTTGCCACTCACACAGGCGAGAAGCCTTATGGATGTACGGAATGTGGAAAGCATTTTGCTCGCAGTGGTCAGTTGAAGGAACACATGAAGCTTCATTTGGGCTTGAAACCTTTTGCATGTGTTGAGTGTGGGAAGAAATTTGCGCAGAACATTCATATGAAAAATCATTTAGCAACACATGCATCACGGAATACACAAAAAGAACAAACTGTGGAAAGGAAGTGAAGTGATATTTTCAAGAAGACATGTTCATTCAGTCTTACATACTTTTGTGAAAAAATGCAAATAGTCTTTTAAAGCCATGTACTTTGAGCATTTATAATTTAAAAAATTCATTGTGCAGTATGAATTTTCTCTCAGTCTTGTACGTCAATTTGATACATCTACAGGGACGATGACTTTGGTATGGCAACATTTCAGGAAAGAAAAAATGTTTCCATCCCTTCAGTGAGATGAACATTTATGTTCAGGAATAATGCACTTCAGTATCATCAGTCAGAGTTGACTAGGTTAAATATCTTTGATATGGTGTCATATCTGAAAATAACTGAAAGAAAGAGGGATTTTTTTTTTAGTGAATGCAACCTGTTGTGTATTATATATTCCTTTTATTGAATAATATATGTTTGTAATATCAAGTAGTACTTTAGTAAAGTGCTACTTGATAATACAAACATATATTATTAATTGTTGTGTTGTGACAGCTTTCAATAAAAGAAAGTAGGAATATTAGTCAAATTTCAGGAGTGAATGTAGAATCTCTGTCACATTTAAGTTGAGAGTGCAAGATAGTTTGAAAGAAGAAATTACATGAATGTGTACATTTTGTTTATATTTCTTAATTCTATTTTTTTAAAGACTGTGATGAACAGTAGCATTTTATTTTTCTGGTGTAATGTGCACTTTTTATCAGTATACAGCTATGGAAGCTGTGTGTTACATTTTTAGATATATCTTACTTAATATATTCTGTTTTCTATTTAATGATAATCTAAAGATTTATTAATTCCCTTTTAGTCATGTACCTAAGTAGGATTCCTACTTCAGAATCTGTGCTGTACACAATGAATGTGTCACTGGCAGCCCACATCAAGTGCGCTGATGTTCCATAAACTTAGTGGTAGTATTAATCGAACAATCATGCTGTCATGGTTAACAAATATTTCTTTAGCATGAAATGTAATTTAGGCATACAAATAAATGCTTCTCGTTTCATTATGTGACAGAGTCCATTCACCTACTGCACCTCTGTCATATATTAATTTCTTCTTATTTTTATTAATTATTACTAATGTAGTCACTGTGATGATGATTTATAGTCTAGTGCAGTCAGGACAGCAAATCATCTGACTATAGAAAACCATTCTGTGTGGGGGGATCTTAGATGCGCTAGTGAGGAGTCGCATATCAAGCATTCCGTACAGCAGAGTCTGATGGCTACGAGAGTTATTGAACAATATAACATAATTCTTAGCAAAATTTCCTTTTCTTAAGGGAGAAAGTTAGCTTATGAGAGCTCCATGCTGTGTATGTATGTGTATGGCTTATTCAATGTTTGCACCGATTGACCAGTACTCACAGAATTTGGTATGAATGTTATATTTTTGAGGGCATTCCAGTCTCATACCTTTTACAATTTATTAGTCATTAATAACAACATGGTGGCTGTAAAAGTTTGTGATATAGAACCAATATAAGAACCACTTACTGTTCAGGTAGATTGACAGTAAACAGCAACTGTAGTTCATGTGGTGCCTTTAAATTGTGTATGATAAAAGTATACTTTCAACACCAGAAACATTATTATCATAGGAGTACATATACACACTTTCAAGACCATACAAGGTTCACGGTCTTTTTCACCTCACACTACAGAGACAAAAAATGTACCCAAATAGTCATAGTCCATTGACTCCAGTAACAGCATACTGAATTTTGGAGATAAAGTAGGTATGGGAAATTGTGTAGCATTCTTCAGCTGCAGCTAGTAGATCAGGCATATCGCTTAGAAAGGCTGTTTGTAACTTGTTTGTTAATAGTGGATGGCTACATTGTATATATTTGAAATTAATGAAGCTGCAGTTTTTGTGTATGACTCCGTTATAAGAATAAACCAAAAAGATGGTTGATTTAACCCAGTGTGCACTTATAATGACCATAAGTTGGGGAAAGTGAAAGGCAAAAGAGATACTTCATGTGTCTGCATCAGCTTTCTCCAGGTCGTTTTACTTATTTAGGCATTTAGACGAAATTTCAAGGGCTCGAAGTATGTCATTTAAAGTCTGAGGGGGTTCAGGCTGCCCAATTTGTTTCTCTAACGCTTATCTATTAATCCCTCAATTACAGACAATACAATTCAACTATACTTTGTAGGTAGAATTATTTTACAAAATGTGATGTTTTTTTTCTAAGAAGAATTACTAAAAAAAAAAATGTCAGAAAATTTATTACATTAAGGAGGGTTCTGACAGATGTAGGTGATATGTTCCTCCTAAACGTCAGTTAACTTTCAATGTACTACATTGCTTTATATTCCAGGAGATAGTACTCAATTGTGTAATGATAACAAATCACAGTTGGTTCAGCATCATAGTATTTGCCTTTGCTTGCCCAAGCAAGGCCCGAAACAATTCTGAGACTGAGAATCAGCTCATGCCAACATAACTAGAATTAGTGAGGCAGCTGAACCTTGTATGATCAACAAATGGATGGCATCACAAGCATGGCAATGTCAGGGATAGTGAAAGAGAAGGGAGGAGAGAAAATTATAAATGTATATTGTATTACTGGATCCTCTATTTATGACAAACCCATTCTGTTTGGAATACTTCCCATGAGCGGCTGGGATCCAGCATTATTCACCAAGAGAAGGCCACGTGAGGGTGTACATTTATTTGGAACAAATTTGGTGTGTATTCTATTATCACGTTATTCAACCATCTTTTCATAGCCATGTGGCACTGGTATTGGTATGTATGGTAGGTCTATGTCCTTAAAAATGAAACCCAAAAGGATAGGAAAATATCTCCCTCGTAACAGATTTATTGGCTTGTGTCAGAGGCAGAGTTACTTTATGACTGGCAGTTTCAAAGTCAGTCATGTTATGTCACAGTAGCACGCAGACGAAGAGAAACGAATTCTGCGGAATGCACGATTTCACTTACTGTTTATGATATCAAGAATAGAGAACGGTTCTCCTTACCATATCCTTGGTAGGGCGGTAGTACACAGAAACCTCATGCTTGGTGGGTACATGAAAGATTAAAAAACGTTCACCATTCACGTGCATTATTTTCCTTTCATTTTCTCCTTTTACTGGTTGATGTTCACTTTCTATAATGGAATGGTTAAACTGTACTGCAAAAATTTTAACATCGCAATAGAAACAAACGCCGTGGTTTTAGTCCGCAAGCGAACTATACCGACTGAGCGACCGCCGCTTGTCAGCGAAGTTCGTACCAACTTTAGCGGATATAGGATGTCGCGTGGTCAGCGCAACGAATGCCCACGACCGTTAATTTTTGGTTTTCTAAACTGGAACCGCTGTGGCCTTGAAATAGCCCCTCAGTTATACTCACGATGCTGAATGGACCCCATTCCAGACCCACTACTTCTCAGAAAATCTGGTAGCGCCGGGAATCGAATTCTGACCACTAGGCCACAAATACAGAAAAAGTAAATGTGTATTCGATCCGACAAATTCATTTCATAAACAACACAGAAAGCACTGAAATACTAGAAAAACGATGCCTGCGAAGAAAATGCCAAGTGCATAACAGAGTGACATAAAAAAACTTGATGTGAGTGGGGGGGCGGAGAGAGAAAGGAAAACTGATTTACAGATTTCATCACTCAGACGTGAACGGCTAAAACAGGCGATGAAGAAATCTGGTGGAGAAGTGCAGAAAATATATAAATAAATATCGAGCTGTAAATGTGGTGGCAAAGGTGGGCATAACCCCAACTTGGCCGAAGGCAAACATCCCCTGAAGTGTAGACTGTTTATCGAAATGCACAAAAGATTTGGTAAAGTTCGGACTTTGCTTGCACTTTTGTTCCGAAAGTTTGTGATGCATGGTGTATACTCGCCATTCAGAGCAGTATTTTATAAAAAAAAATTGAATTGGTATATAATATGTATCGTTCCTCGCGGGACTTGATAATCAAGGAAACCGTGATAACTTGAAAATGGCGAGGAGTTATTTACGTGATGTTTGGGGAGTCATAATCTGAAATCTGTTATTCTGTAGGTTAAGGGTAATGGTATTTGTTAACGTTTCTTATTATGGCGTTAAACTGTAACAGTATCTGTCGGCTTTGCATGGGGAGGAACGATTCGTTATTGCCCCTCTTCAGTGATAGGAAGGGCGAAGTCATTTCTCTTACAGCAAAAATTATGAATTTCGTTCCAAGCGTGAAGGTATGTTTTTTAAATGTATGGTAGTTAGCTGTGAATTTGCATTTAACAATAATTGTGACTTTTATATATTGTGAGTGAATGGCAGTGAATGTAACGGATAATCATATTCTTGAGCTTCACTTTATGTATGTGTTTTTAGCTCCTTTCTGGTGATGGCTTACCAGCCCAAGTATGTCGGCGGTGTGTACGGCTAGTGAACATGTCATACAAATTCAAACAACAATGTGAAAGTTCAGATACAGCATTGCGCCAGTATTTAAGAAGTCAGCCATATACTGTAAGTGCTTACATCATTATTATGTCACAGCTAAATGCAGGGCATATTATATTTCCTCACTATAAACTAAACTCACATTATTAATACTTCCAGTTATTTAAAGTGTTTAATTTTTTGCATTGTGCTCACGCTTAAGAGAAGGTTACTCTGAGGACTCAATTGTCAGGACTCATAGTGAAATATTAGAACTTAAAATAGATGATTGCTGGTTTTGATTCCTTAAATAAGTTTCTGAACTGTTAAATTCTTCTTGAGTAATCAGGTCTGACATACAATCTTACATCTGCAAGCAAATATTAGTCTAAAATGTATATGTTTCCAGTTCCAAGATTTGAGTATTGACAGCAGAATTAACTTGAAGACATGCCACAGAATTGTAAACATGAGCTGGAACATTATGTGCATTGGGTGAGCATGGAGGCATCAGACACTGTAAAATATGAGTGTGTAACAGAGACAAAACTTCAGAACAGTTTCTGGATAGAAGACACATAATGATGATCACAGTGAGAATATGAATAATCACTCTCATTTACTCTCTCATACCTCTTACATATGTCCCAACGTTGCAGTAGTTTCCCATCCCCATATTATTAGGGATCTTCATATTTCCTACTGGACACATTTGATTCTTAAATGTGAATAATAACTTCTACTTTATGGAAGTAAATATGCATATCATGCTGACTTATTGATCTCCTTTACTTCAGCCTAATGACCTATGCAATGTTTGCTGCACTGTGCAATACTTTCCAAGATCAGTGTATAAAAATATTTTAACACCTTAACTCTGTAAAGGGACTTGGTTGCTTATTTTTTACTAAATTTGAATATATACTGAAATCTGATATTACTTTTTGGAGGGAGTAATTAACAGTAATTCAGTCTTTAAATTACCAAAAAAGAAAGTATAGGGCTCATTAAAGGAGTGAAAAACAGGGTGTCCTGTGTCCTGTTTGGTGAGTTTAAGATTTTAATAGTAACTTATCTACACAATCATTATTCTGACATTCACAAGTATAACACTAAAGGAAACATGTTGAAACATTCAACACTGTTAATTGCAAAATAAATGTAATTAACAAAAGCAAACAACAAACTCCGTGGTTTCAGTCTGCAAGCGAACCACACTGACCGCGCGACTGCTGCTTGTCGGCGAAGTCAGTGCCAACTTTAGCAGTTAGAGGGTGTTGCGTGGTGGCTGCAACAAATCCCCACAGCCGTTAATTTCGGTTTTCTATGGAAATTAAAAATACATAACAGCTTGCCCCCTGAATTAAAAAGAATAGAAAATTTTAAAGCTTTTAAAAATAAATTAAAAAGTTATTTATTACAAAACTGTTTTTATTCTCTGCAGGAGTTTTTTAGTAACAATGATGGATGGTAATTTGGTGGCTCGGGTTGGTTCTGATGTGTTGTGGTTGTATATACATGGTATAAGTGTCTGCATTGCTTTATATTGGTTTGTTGGGGGATGTCATCCTTGGTTGTTACCTTCAGCAATGGGAGAATGATCGTAAGATGACTGTATTGTTTGTAGTCTTGTGTATCATTTTGTACATTTTTAAGAGTTGTTGACTTGTAGTATTTTAGATGGTTTAAACTGACTTGTCCAATTGTACTTTTGTAACAGTTTGTGGATGTAAATACATTATGAATTATGAACTATTGAATTTGTCATGTTCGTGATGATTCATGTTGTGGTTTTCTGGGTTATGACATTAGATACACCATGTCCCTCCTACACTATACCATTCCTCACTTCACTTCCCTTTCCACCATGATCTACCTTCAACCAGCAATGACCCCTCTACCACCTTCCACCCTGCTTGACCAACGGCAGAAAATGCTAAGCAACACTGTACTTGAGCACTTCAGTGGGTGACTGCTTGGGACCATCAGTTCCTGAGGGCTTTTTGCTGCGTTCTGTGGCCTTAAAAGTGATAATTTGATAATGTTTATTAATATAATATAATATTTGAAAAATTTTAAAGGATTTTAAAATTAGAACTAAAGATTTTATAAGTGCTAACGTGTGTAACAAAAATAATCTATAAACCAGACAGATATCAACGAAGTAGATGTTGATAATAACAACGAAAGATACAATGTGTTTTTAAATGTTAAATTTTAAACTAAGTGCAGTGTAACAGCAACGTGAGTGTATGCACCTGATGATGGCCGTTTGAGGCCGAAACATGTAGTGTAAAGCAGAGCAAGATCAAGGACATATAATGTATTGTTTGCACTTGAGATGGAGTTTATATCATTTATCGTATAGAGTGCAACAGGATGCTTAAATAAAATATTGCATTCTTTTTTATTCCATGAATGAATATTATCAATATAAATGGTCATAAGTGTGTAAATTTGTAATGTATTTAATTCAGTTAATATAGGTGATTTAAATAAAATTGTATTAATTCAAGTTTTATAGTAATTTTTAAATTATGTTTATTAATTAAAATCTTATTAATTTTTTACTTTATATTATTATTTATGTTAATCGATTAATGTAAGTGATTTTAATTATGTGACTCATGTAATTTTGTATATGTATCTTGATATATTTATTTTCAAAGGAACTATTTCCACATCCTAGGTTTGTTACCTGTATGGATATATAGAAAATAAGACAATGAATAAATGAATGAATGAATTAATTAATTAATTGAAAGTATGACATTTTTAATTATATTAATTTCCTAGGGAAATTCTGATGAAATACTGCATTCTGTGTTCCAAACTGACAATAATGAAGAATGCTGGAAGGTGGAAATTGTAAAAAATGAAGTTTTAGAGGAGGATGTTTCACTAGGTGAACCTGCCGGACATAGTGACAGCAGTGATGACCAAAGGTATGATTACAATATTACATTTATATATATATAAGTTCAAAATTCAATATTTTGGAGAACTACCTGTTAAGAACCCCATGTCTTCTTGCAGTAAAAGCTGTTTAATGCTTATGCAACAACTCAGCAACTTCATCAGGTGAACATTTTGTGTGTATTGAAATGCAATTATTTTACATGCATATGAGAATAATTTTAGTGCCGTGAAACTGCTTAAATCCGAAATGACTTGTATTATATTGGTCACTGGTCGTAATTTGTAAGTTATTTCAGCTTTGATGGCTAGCAAATAAACAGTGTTGCACAATTCATGCTAAGAATGAAGAATGTTTATTGTTTGCACAGACACTTCAACACATTGTATTCTGGGTTTAGCTATCTTTGTCACATTGTCTAAATATGTGGTTAATAGGTAAAATTATTCCAAATCCAGGACTGAAATGTATGTCTTATGGGCTGTTACAAAGTAGTCTGACAGAACCTTTGATTATGTATGGTAAGATACAGTTCAGTGGAATGATTTAAACATGCCATTTCTTTAATTAACTCATAGTATACACAGAACTATACATGTTCTTATTTAGTGTGTGACCATCTGTATGATATTTTGACAGATTTCCAGAAGAAGGCGGTAATGGTGACCAAAATGAACTGAAAACTTCACAAGCTGGACCTTCCACTGTAGAGAATGAAGGCTATAGTAAGAAGCTAAAGAAAGCAAATATTATATCAAGAAAGGATGTAAAGGAAAAGAAAACTGGAAAGAAATGGGAATCTTGTGATTTTTTTAATAATGGAAGTGATGTTAAAGCTGAAAATGACAAAACAAATGAATCTGAAGAATTTGCCTCTGTAACACATCCAGGAACAAGTGATAATGATGAATTAATAAATGATGTAAAAATCGAACCTTTTATTAAATTAGAAGTGAAAGTACCAAAAGTGAAAGAAAAGAAAAGTTTTCTGTGTCATGACTGTGGAAAGAACTTCGCACGTAAGCAACATCTGTTACTACATTTGAGAACTCACACAGGAGAGAAACCATTCTCATGTAAAGTTTGTGGTGAAAGTTTTGGTATGAGTAGTAATTTGAACAAACACTCGAGAATCCATACTGGAGAGAGGCCGTTTCTATGTACAATGTGTGGTAAATGCTTTGGCAGGAGTGATACACTAACTAAGCACATGAGATGTCATACGGGGGAGAAACCATTTCACTGTAATATGTGTGGCAATAATTTCGGACGTAGTAGTACATTAATCAACCACAGGCGTACTCATTTTGGGGAAAAACCATATTTATGTACTGAATGTGGTAGAAGATTTGTGCAGAGCTATGATCTAACAAAGCATATGAGAGCACATACCGGAGAGAAGCCTTATCGATGTACGGTTTGTCATATGAGTTTTGGACAGAAACATAGTTTGAATAAGCACATGAGAAGTCATACAGGTGAAATTCCATTTGCACCTATAGAATTCCAGAGAACAATGCCTTATGTTCATTACAGACCAGCTGTGGCAGATTTGTCAATGGAGAGGAATACAGTATTAACTGGAGGTGGACCCCAGATTCAGTGAAGACCATGAGTACATATGAATTTGTTCCTATTCACAGAAATGTATTTGTTACATTTGTATTACTCATTTTGCCTGTGTGGTAAATCTGGTACTGCAGAACCAACATTTGAAATGTGCTCTAAATATTTTACTCACAGGTACATACATTCAACACTGAAGCTTAATAATGGCTAATTTTTGAAGTCACTGGCTAAGTTTACTAGTGCAAAGTCCTGAATGTAATCTGCTTTTTGGGGATTTATACACGATGAACCATTCAGCTGAAAGTGCTTGAAAACAATTTTGGAATTCCAACTTTTAACGTAATATAGCTTTAATTGTACAGGGTGGGGCGCAGAAACTTCCTTTTTGTGAAGACACATTGTGAAGGGAGGGGACGTCGCAGAAAAGTGGGGATAGGCTCTGCGAACGCAGCAGTCACAGAAGTTTCTGTCTAATACCCCTCAGTAGGAAACATGAGGTGGATGAATGAGCAGCGTGTGTTTGCTGTCGAAGCCTATTTTTCGAACAACCATTCCTACGTGGTGGTGCAGCATGCGTTCCGTACTCACTTTGGAATTAAGCCCAGAGGTCGGGTTCCTGACCAGAAATCGATTGTTTTGTGGGAAGAGAACTTTAGGACAACCGGGAGTGTGGTGAAAAAATCATCAGGATGACAGCGGGCCGTTACGAAGCCAGAAAATGTGGAGGCAGTTCGACAGTCGATTTTGAGAGCTCCAAGACGCTCCGCTCGCAAACATGCAGTCGCCCTGGACATATCCAATCGTTCAGCACTGAATTCTTCATGAACATCTTAATTTCCATCCCTATAAGATGCATGTTGTGCAAGAATTGTCACCATGTGATTTCCAGAATCGAATAATGGAGTGTGAAACGTTATTGGAAACTTTACCCCCTGACGCACTTGTTTTCTTTAGTGATGAGGCACATTTTCACCTATCCGGATATATCAACAAGCAGAATATGTGCTATTGGAGTGCTAACAATCCCAGAGAGCTCCATGAGAGGCCACTTCACAGTCATAAGGTGACAGTATGGTGTGCATTCTCAAGAGTTGGAGTTGCTTCAGCTGAAGAATGTTATTCAGCAGGAAGTAGCCCAAATTCCAGTGCACATGTTGGAACGTGCAGAGGGAACTTCAGAAAACAGTTGCATCAGTGCATAGAGAATGGTGGCCACCACCTTCAAGATATTTGGTTTAAAACTACATGATTTAAAACTCTAAAGTATGTTCTTTCATTAGCTAAACATAAATTTTGTCTATCAGCAATAATTTTTCTTTTATTCGCCCTCAAATAAAGGAAGTTTCTGCGCCCCACCCTGTATTAATGTATGTGAATGTTATTTTAAGTATTTAGATAGTTATTGTGACTAAATTTTAAATTTGCCCTTATGCTTACTAAGGACTACTTAGTGAATAACAATCATTTGAGATGATGACAGTTTTTATTTTTTTTATGCTGTATTATATATACACCTAATAATATCTGTGGTGTTAATGGAAAAAAAGGTTAAATCATTAAGCGTATTTTTTTTCTTTCAGAAGGAGAAGAAACAGCTGTAGATGTTTATGCAGTAATACGTAGGTCGTACCGAAAGTCATGAGTAACTTTTTTTTTGCATGCAACCTGGGAGCAGTAGATGAAAGAGAGTGCGGTGGTAGGTGGAACCAGCTGTTGTGTTAACCTTGAGTGTCTTGTGATGACAAAAGCTTGCATCATGTGACCAGTATCACTCCTAACAAAATGGCCAAAAACAATATGTCGTTCGCCAACATGCTGTCATTGAATTTCTTGTGAAAGAGAAAATCCCTGCTGCAAAAATTCACCAGAGACTTCAGCGTGCTTATGGAAGTGTGTGCATGGTGCGAGCAGTGTTCGAAGATGGGTGAAACATTTTAAAGATGGGAACACCAGCATCGAAGATGAGCCTCGGAGCGGTCCTCCTCGAACAGCCTCAACTGAATGCGACAAGGAAAGAGTGGATGAGATCATTGAAGATGACAGGCGTGTGACTGTGGACACAATAGCCCGAAAACTTGGAATAGGCCACAGTGCAGTACAGGAGATGATTGAAAGCTTGGGCTATAGGAAAGTTGGTGCTCATTGGGTCCCGCAGTTATTGACTGAAGACTACAAAGGTCAGCGAAAAGCCATCACCTCAGAGTTGCTGCAGAGATATCGACACGAAGGCGATGATTTTTTTGCTCTGTATTGTGACAGGTAAAGAAAGCTGGTTTCACCATTTTGAGCCTGAAACGAAATGGCAGAGTATGGAATGGCACCATTTGCATTCTCCATCAAAAAAGAAGGCAAAAACAGTGCCATCAGCTGTGAAGGTGATGGGCACAGTCTTCTGGGATGCAGACGGGTTTATTCTGGCCAAATTCCTGGAACCTGGGCACACCATCAATGCTGCTCGTTATGTCCAGATGCTGCACAAGCTCCGTCGTGCATTGTGCGATAAACATCCGGGATGAAACATCATCATCCTGCATGACAACGCTCGCCCCCACGCCGCTCGCCTCACATTGGAAACAATTGCACATATGGGGTGGGAAGTTCTTCCGCACCCCTCCTATAGCCTTGACTGGCACCCTCCAACTACCATCTTTTCGGATTTGTGAAGGATCAGCTGCATGGACAACGTTTTGAGACAAGGGAGGCGATTCAGAAAGCAGTGCGTCAGTGTCTTCAGATGGCTGGAACAGAATTTTACAGAAGGGGAATTTTCAAACTCCCAGAACGCTGGGAGAACTTTGTACAAAGAATTGGCGATTATGTGGAAAAATAAAGAAAGGTCTGTAGATTGAGGTGGTGTATTTGGTTTGTCAGTAATAAAGCATGTTACTTTACAAAAAATTGTTGCGCATGACTTTCAGTACGACCCTTGTATATGTAACTTAGTATTTCATCATGTCATTGAGTGAGAGATATTGTGGTTTGATACATAGCCTACATGTATTTCTTTATTTTAAGCCTGCTTTTATTTAATTCTTTTAATAAGTAAGATTTTGTGATGGACTTTTTACATGTTAATTTATTATTTATTTCTTGCATAAATCTGTTTTCTGTGACATTTTTCTTGCAAAGGTGGCATCCATACAAAATTAGATTTTCATCTTCTGACCTTTGTTATAATGTAATTACATTTCGATTAGGTGATAGTAAAAGGAAATCATACTTCATGCATTTATTTGGATGAAAATCTAAAATTATGCTATGATTATGATAATATCAACAATATAACACATTATGTCCCTCTTCTAGACCACCTCTATGGTCTAGTGGTCAGAGTTCCTGGCTACAGATCCAGAGGTCCCGGGTTCGATTCCCGGCGCTATCAGATTTTCTTAGAAATAGTGGGTCTGGAACAGGGTCCACTCATCCTCATGAGGATAATTGAGGATTTCAAGGAAATAGTGTCTCCGGTCTAGAAAACCGAAATTAACAGCCGTGGGGATTCCTTGCGCTGACCATGTGACACCCTTTATCCACTAAAGTTGGCACTAACTTTGCCAACAGGCTGCGGTCGCTCAGTCCATATAGTTCGCTTGCGGACTAAAACCACGGAGTTTTTTTCCCTTCTATTTTTATGTCCCTCTTCCAGATTATCATTGTATCCTCAGGGATCATGACAGCAAGAATTAACTGCAATAGCTTTTGACACAGTCAGTATATGAGGGTGCTGTGAAAGATTGACAACAGTTTTAGTTTTTCTGTGTTTCTGAGAGATGGCAAATTCTGCTATTTAGAGCTGTACAGTTGAAAGTTCTTGGAAGCAAAGAATGACAGATTGTTGTCATAGTGTGTAACTATATTAAGAGGAAAATTCTGAGAAGAATGTAAATTCAATCGTGAGTCAAACTGATGAAGCTATGGGAATATTGAGAGCTTCAATTTGTGCAGGTAAATTATGTTTTTATGTGGGAACAAATATAGGCATTATTAAGGTAAGAGACACATGTCAAAAATTTGCTTTACTTGGGTGTATGTGTGACTCAGTCTGCAATATACATGGGCAGCTTGCATCTTCTCACCGTTCATAGTTATCTTATGAGCCAGTAGTTATTTATAAATGTTGTCATAGTATAAATGAAGCATGTGACAGACAGGTTGTGTTACCAAGTTTTATGACCATATTTTGATCTCAGGGAATTTAAGATTTTCACAAATATTATATTAGGTATCTTAAACCTAAACTGTGGAATCTGTATCATTAATGGTCTGGTGTAGGATATTTCTTTTATATGTAGTTACCTCAAATTTCTGTATGGCTTCCAATTCAAAAATCGTTCTTAATAGGAAAGTAAGTATGAAACTTCTATGTATGATAAACAGATTAGCAGGAGTTTTTTTTTTTTTAATTTGTACACATCACTCATGGCTGAGAAGTATTGAGAGCATAATTTTAGTCAGATGGCAGTACAAAGTGTGAGACAAAGTATTTTTATTTGTGAGCATTCTTATAAATTTATGACCACTGTAATGCACTGTGTGTCTGAAAAGTAATGAGACAGAAATTCTTATGAAAATGGAACTTGGCTCATTGCTTTTCAAATGAATTGTGTATTCTGAGAAAGAAAAAAAAACTGTTGTTATTTACTGTAATAGAATGAATGTGAGTTGTGCCAAAAAATCTGGCAACTAGCAAATTGTAATGTAATTTTTAGGGACATCACATTTTTAACAAAGATCATATGTCACCTGTTTATATTTTTTACACTTTTAATGTCTGGTCACTAAATGTATAACTTCTCTTGAGTTTGTACACTTTAGCATTACCATATACATTTAACTGTTTTCATGCTCTTGGTAGTTTTCATTGAGTTTTCATTGTACGTATATTACTGAATTATTTGTATTTTACATCCTATTTTCTCTATCTCAGTGTTTGCCCATAATAACAGCTGCTTTGATGTTGTCTGGCACTTAAAATATGAATTGAATTGTTCCACAAGCAAAATTTACAAATTACAACTTTCATCTAAACACATAAATGTGAACTTATTTCACTGTTAGCTTATGGAATGTAACTGTAATACAACCCTGTGCTAGAAGACAGATGGAGGAAATTTTGCATTATATGGGTAAGTGGCCATACAGCTTTATCTAATGGGTAAGATATCAGATGTGTTCAAAAAGTACCCAAAATTGTTTATAAATATCATTCTCTACTTAGAACTTATTGAATATTATCCCCTTCAAAACAGTCCCCTTGTGCAGCAATACAGCTCTCCCACCACCCTTCCACTTCTGCAAGCACTGTTTGAAGGATGTGTGTGGTCCCACCTTCAAGTCATTCATCACATTAGTGATGATGTGTTCCACTGTATGAAATCTTCTTTTAAGGGTAATTTTGAGTTTAGGAAAGATGTCAGGTGAATAAGGGGTTGTGGAAGGATAAGAATTGAATGTTTTGCCAGGAACTGATTGACAGCATTATGTGTGCAGGCTCACTATCATGATGGAGGAGCTGGCTTCCCGCAATCAACATTTCAGGTCACTTTCTTCATGCCATATCCTGCATAGTGTCAAGGTCACCAGATAAAAATAGAGATTAATTGTATGACCTTCAGGAGTGAATTCATAAAGCTCAGTGCCTCAGTGGTCAAAAAAAAACAAGCAGCATTGCTTTCATTCATGAGCACACCTGTTGTGCTTTCTTGGAGTGAGGCGAAGCAGGACTTTTCTAGAGTAAGGATTTTTGTTTGGTTTCAACGTCATAACTGTAAACCCAAGTCTGGTCACCAGTAATGATATTTTTCTAAAGATTTTCCATGTCATTTTTTTCTTTGGAGGAGATCTAGGGATCATCAGTCAAGAGTCTTTGCACAAATTTCCTGAGACCTGATGTATTCCTAAGTTTTCCATTAAAATTGTGTGGCATGAGCCAGTGGATATTCCAACCTCTTCTGCAGCTTCTTGGACAGTCACTCGACGATTTCCATGGATAACATTTCTCATCTGGGCAATCAGAGGTTTGGATCGACCACTTATTGACATTATTGAATTTTCTTTATTTTATTCTGTCAACACAATAGGAAGCATGGATACTTCATATGTTTTTAATTTCTTACAACATATTTTGGTTGGTTAAGCCATCAACAGGTATTTGACTTCAATATTCACCTGTATTCATCTGCTAGTATTCCTACATTGGCCACTGTTTACATGTTGGAATAATATTATTTTAGTGATAGGCCATTATGCATAAAATGGTGTTACCTCTGAGATTAAATATTAATTGCTGACATGTTAAAAAATTAAAATAAAATGTGTATAAAAGGTTTTCTTCTGTCTGTCTGCATGTAGTGGTTGTGTCTTTTCTACCAGTGTATTCCTTTGAGTTTCTTCCTGGTCGGGAATGTGAACACATTTGTTATGAGAATATTTTTTTAATGTGGGGGAAAAGGGTATGTTTTTTTCTTGTATCTAGTATGTATTTTGTTGGCTTGTAGGTATGTGGTTGCACTTTCCCCTTGTTTGGGTTCCTGAAAATATAATGTGTTTACTGTAATATATAAGTGCAAGATTGGAGTTGAGTACTGATATTAGTTGAAATTGTTTCTTACCATGTTCTTTGGAGAAGTGTTGTGTCCTTTATGTGTGTAGAGGTGAAACTGTTGGTAGAATGTCTGGTGTCTTATGTGTTTTGTAGTGTACATAAGGTGATGACCATGAGCTAAAACGTTGTAAAAACACAACAAACATATATTGTATCCATACTTCCTATTGTGGTGGCAGAATAAAATACAGAAATTTCACACATGCAGCATGATGCTAAAATATAATGTTTATAGACAACCTTTCATTTTGAAAATGTTTGATGCATTTACAAGTCGTCTCATTCAAGATATCATGGCCACAAGCTTCATGCAACACATTGTGGGTTTCTGCATCTGTTTTCCCTACTTTGAAACAGAATTTTACTCAAATTCTTTACTTCTTTACTGACTCTGTACTGAGTGTGACACACCAACACACTCAGTCACAAAACCAGTTATAGAAACTAAACAGAACATCTCATATGCTTAGAACAAAATGGCTTGTGTAACTTAGGGTCAGGTTGTAATCACTCAACACGTAGCAAGACTAATTAACTGCTGCTTCATACTTCATTTTGGAACTTTCTGGACAAACCTCATATATTCATTATGCAGCAGAATTATAATATCCAAGTACCATATTCTTTAACATTCTTATTTATACAAATAGCTGTTTGTGTTCCAAATGTGTTGTCTTGAGGTAAGAGTAGCTCTGACTGACTGACTAGCCAAAAATCAGTCATATTGGAACTGATGGTTTGGCAGTCCGTCTGTCTATCTTGGTACCAAGCCCCATGTGGACCAGATATTTCTTCATATTTGAAAGTTACTATCCTGTCCATGTGGGGCTCCCTTTCTGATGAGAGGATGGGTCTGTCGTTTTCAGTCACAGTATTATTAGCCAATCGTCAATATGTGTAATTATTTACATTTTACTAATTACCAACTGTTTGTGTATACAGTATATACAAGGCCTGTGTCAGTCAAGTCTTAGCACAACAGATTATGCCCTATTTCTAGTAGCTTCCACTACAATGGCAGTCAAGTCACTTGAACAGTCGTCTGCTTGACTGCCACCAAGTTTAAGCCTTTTATACTTCCTGTGTTGGGCTTTGATATGTCCAGTGTTGCAAACATTTTCATTTTCATGATTTTGTATGACTTCTGCTTGTTGCCTGCATCTGTCTAGCATGTTTGGGGTCCACATCTTTATCTTCTGTCTCTAGTGGCGCTCAACCCATTGGGCGTTGGCGCTGCTGTGGTCTGCGCTGATTGGGTAGCATCTGCTTTGCTCTGCTGGCAGACCAGAAGTTGGTAGCTGGCTTGAATCTGCATTGTGGTAGGCTTCCACACAATAAACCAAGTAAGAAAATATCTGGTTTTAAGTTATTTATTGAATTCTTTGATGAGTTAGGCTGTGATTGTGGCCTACTTCAGCACTCATGTGGAAGGTTTGTTATTGTGATCTCTGGCATTGCATCTCATTGGCCAATTTTTCAGAATTGGGAGACAGGTATAATATACATATTTATGTTATTTGGTTGTATAGCTTGTAACAAAGCAACAACATAACTATCCAACAGCGTGGAAGAAAACTGAAGGCCCTCTGACATATATAACACGCATGTAATAACAGTACCTCCACATTTAAGTTTGAGGTTCTCACGTTGGTGACTGTGATGAGTACTATCTTCTGGGATGCAACTTCATTTTCAGGGTTGAAGAGTAAACAAGCAAGAAGTAAGAAGAAAACAGCAAGCTGTGTGAACAACATTTGCCTCGCTCAGCTCATTTGCTGCTTGCTTGCTTTATTTATTCTTTGACTCTGAAGATGGAGGTAGTAAGTTCTTCTGGAACTTTAGAGAACTTCTACCGGACTACATGGTGTCTCATAACAGAATACAGTATTCTTCAGTTTTACATTTGTTTAACAGGAAAATATAATTTTCTCTAACAATAGCAGTATTAGAACAATGCAGTAAATATCTGTAGAAGGTAATGTTCCTGCAGAATTAATTTTGTGAGCATTGAACTTTGGGAACCTAGTAACATCACAGTAGGTAGCATGTGGTCCAATACATGCAGAGTAACATATGACATGTGCAATGTAGTTCTGCTCAAACACTCCAGACAGAAGGTTAGCATGTGGCCCACTTGAATATACAGGCACATCCTCACCAGCATGGGTCTCCTTGTCAATATACCATCCAGAAAATTGGCGGTACCTTAAATCTTGTCGTTCCTCATCAGATACTTCACGCCAGTAGTTGTGAGAGCAGTTAGAATTATTGTGCCTTGAAAATCCTGGACCATTAGCATATGTCAAGATGTCATGGCCATGAAGTTCTGCCACATAATTTGAAGAGCCTAAAATAAATTGTAAAAGCAATGTACCCATTCCATGAACTCCCATTTCCTTCCTTTAATATTTTCACAGAGTGGTAATATTTTGACACTAAAGTAAAATGGCAGCACTGAACATCAAAGAGACAGAAGTCTCTAGTATGAGAAAGAGTGCATTTGGAAAATATGTGAACACAACTGGAGTGATCTCTTCTACATTTGCTAAATAATAAATTAATGTAATAGAATTTAAATAAATTGGATATTAAAGCAAGTAAAATAAAACCACCTGAAGAGGCAGTAATTCTGTCTCTGTAAGTGCTCACTATAAACCTAGAATATTTTCTGTATCATTTATGAAAGCTGGAAAGAATCGGACATTTACAAGAATCTTATAGTACTCATACATTCTGGAAGATTAAATTATTTTATACCTTCTAAACAAGTGGCTAGTGTTCTGTCACCAAATTGCATAATTTTAATGTCACTGCATGAACTCCATGAATCCAGCAGCAGGAACATTTCTTGATTGCTCCACAAGAAATTATGGAAAAGCTTCTTAAGGGTGTTAAAGCCCTTGACAGTTCATGTCTTAGGAAAATCACAGATTTTACAAGATACAAGTCTTGACATAGCAAATGTCTGACTCAGTGACTGTACTGTATAGCACAACACTTCTGATATAATCAAGAATGAGTGTTTTACTTCTACAGAAACATAAACTGTTCAGATACCATGGATGGCGACATAGCATCACCGCAGACAGCTATCATTGAATTTTGAAACTGCATACTTCATCATGTTTGCAGTGCATATTTTAACTCCAACATCATCTTGGATGAGAACAAAAATAATTGAGTCCAAAAATTCATACTTTCACCATATGCCAGAAACGTGTTCAAACCTGGGTCTGGTCTAGTGGGATTTGTGATAGACAAAGTGGCACTGGGGCAGGTTTTCTCTGAGTACTTGGTTTCCCCTGCTAATCTCTATTCCACCAGTTTCTTCACAATCACCCTCACCTGTCATCTGGTCCTGGTACAATAGGCCAGAAGTGGCCGCAGCACAAGGGACTTAGTCCCACCCTACTAGCAATAAAAAAAAATATGCCAGAAACATGAAACACTGTGTCAAGTCTAACCATTTCTTTCCAAGCAAAACAATGCAAATGAGAAGACTGATTCATGCATATTATTATTATTATTATTTTTTTTTTATTTTATATTATTATTATATTT